CAGTGGGGAGGAGAGCAGAGTAATGAAGCCAATTCATAGAGGGGGATTGTTAGGAGGCCATGATTGATAAAGGCCGATGGGAAATTTGGCCAGGACGCCGGGGTACACCCCTACTCTTTTCGAGAAACGCCCTGGGATTTTTAATGACCACAGAGAGTCAGGACCTCAGTTTTACGTCTCATCCAAAGGATTTGGGCAGGTTAGGGTTCAGGTTTTCTTCAAAGAATTTATGCAACCTTCTCGTTTGTGTGCAAGATATACCTCAGTGCATCAAAATATTAGACTGAAAAGTCTAGGCAACCTCACCAAACCAAAGACGATGTATCAACAACGGTAAAATTCTATTTTCTGACAAGTGTTCGGTTATTGGATATTTTGTGTTGAATGGTGTTCTCGATGAGCATGTTTTCAGGGTTAAATAGGTTAAGACTAATTAATTTTGCCTGTATATGTTAGCATGCCAGTGCATTCAATGCCAAATTCAAGAGTTTGAAAAGTATAACCAATTTCTTTCAAACTTTTGCTTTTAGGGCAATTTAGACAACATTCCCATTTAGGGCAATGCAGTGCAAAGAGCCATATATGCAAGAAAAAAATGAAGATAACACTGACATATCACTTTGCCTAAATTTCATTTTGGTCCTAAAACACAGCCATGCCATCAAACATAATCTATGTGTTGTAGGAATCCTAACCCTAACCCTAGCTCAGGGTTTGGTAGGTTAGGGGTCGGGTTCAGATTTTCTTCAAAGGATTAGTGCAACCTTCCACTCATTTGAGAGAATGTATACATAGAATGTAGCTGATTCTATCTCAGTAAAAGCTTTTTCCATTGCATTTACTAACTTTAAATGCCCGTAAATCCAGTTTAAAACTAAATACTGACAGTAACACGTTACAGAAGGGACAGACCTCTTTAAACAAACTCTGTAAATAGAATTAACGTGCGACCATAATCAGTTTCCTAAGCTGATCCATTACCTCTGCTGGCTTGGTTCAGTCGGGCCTGAAGACCTAGGTTCTCTTCTCTCAGGGCTCGGTTCTCATTGGACAGCTGACTCACGGATTCCAGCCCCTGGATGTAGATGTTAGTAGGAGGCCCTGTTGAAAACAGCAGGAATACCGGGTCAGGGCAAGGATACTAATAGACTATACCCTTTTCACACACACAATTACCTGCATGTTCTATAATAGTTTGTATATTTATTCTATGATATTATTATTTTATGTCAGTCTTTCTCTGTCCGGACTGCTGATTTATTTAACCTTCTAAAATAAATTTGGCATGAAGCATAAATGGCTCTCTGAAAATGTGGCACAGGTACACTAGACGTGACAGCAGAAGTAAGTGCTTGATTCACTGGAAGTACAGTATGTCATTCACTGGATTTCAAAGTCTCATACCACTGTCCCTCCCTGCTGTAGCCAGCCTCTCCTCCAGCTGCTGTCTCAGACGGTTATTAGTGCAGATCGAGTCCTCGAGACGCTGCTGCAGGCTGCGGATCTCACCGAGGTGCTCCTCAATCAGATCAGCTCCTGGAAACACAGCACGCTGGTCTCAGAGGGAGAGCCCTCTCGCCTGGTCAGCCAGAGGGAGCCCACCTCTGCCGCACGGCGAGGTCTACCTGTGTGACCGGTGCCCGACTGATAGCCCGACGATCCCGACGACACGTCTCCGTAATTGCTGGCTCTGCCCGGTCTGGCCAGGTGGCTCATATCCCACATCGCGCCGGCGTCCAGCAGGCCTGCCTGTGTCTTGAGGGCACCGTTTGCGTTAGCGGGGCAGCCGAGCAGGGACTGGTGGAAGGCGTGGCGCGTCAGGGGGGCGAAACTGGAGGACTCGGGCTGGGAGTGGCTAGCCAAGGGGAAGCTGGCCATCGGTTTGATGTGAGGGACAGCATAGCCTGCAGCCAGAGAAAGAAAGATAGGTTTCAGAGCACAGTAAAATACAGGGTGCTTGTACCTGAGTTGGCGTATTCAAGGAACTGTATAGTGAAAACCAGGTGCCAGCGTATAAATAATACAAATGGTACCATGAGAAGCATCAGCCCATAGACAATAACAATGCAAATTCTAAGGCATTAGCACAGCCAGTGTCTTCCGCAGAATGCACAGCTTATTTCTTAGCATATAAAACCATCATCTTGGCTTCATTTACCCTGCAATACACAATGGACATTTTTACTAAGGCCTCATTTGCACGTGTGTGAAAGCTCCATTGCTCTGTGGTGCACATTTGCCATGACGCAATTCTGTGAAAAGGCCCGAAAATGTATAGGCACAGGTATCTTCTACCTCAGAAATCAATGAGCATGCACTGCAACATAAGGGCAAAATGAAATAATACAGCATGCATAATGTTTTCAGAAAAGCACAGATCTCTTCAACTTGGTGATATAAACTCTGTGATAGTTTGTCTTTATTACAATTTGGAAGTGTTTTGAGGCAATGACTATCATTTGTATATCAAGAGTTTATAGAGGTAATCAGCTTAGCTCTGTTTTCTTTTGTAAGATATAATCATTTGCAAAGAATTTTTGCGTATATAATGATTCTATTGTCACTGTTATCATGGCGTATATCTCATTAAATGTAAGAAGAAGGAGATTTTAACATTTCAACACTGTATACTGTTTTCCATAGTTCATGATGGTTGGAGCATAGTTTTATTTTCGTCTATCAATGCATGTCAAGCTACTACAGAATCAGAACAGCTGAACTCACATTAGAATGCCATGCATGACAGGCTTCATTAATGACATGCCTGGAGCATTTAAAACCAAGCACACAGTGGAATCAGCTCACAGAACATCAGCTCACTTTCATCAGTATATTCTCTTCAGTGCATTGTGACAATATTTACAAAAAAGGAGGATCACTAGCACAAGAAACTACCAATCCATGCAAATTACAAAATTAAATCTCACAAAACTGCATACGCCTGGTTAGTGGTCTCTGAGTTGCGTGTAATGTTTTTGTTTTAAGCTTGTAGCAAATACAGAAATACCTTTACTACACTGATGGAAACACAAGTTACGAATTCTTCTGATTCAGAAGAAGCTTTTCTCTGACCTTCATCAACGCTAGTTTCTCTTTGTAATTGTTCTTGTGGTTTTATATTACAAAACTCAATTGTGCATGCAAACACGTCAGGCACAAGGCAAAGATCCTAAATGTAATCACTGTGATTACTGTTAGAACTTGTGGGTCAATTTCAAAATTTAAGATTATGCAGCTGCCTGTAGGGAGCACAAAAACATCAATCCTGTATAGAGGAAAAAGAACTAGGCTAGCAGTAAAGAGCACTATTGCTTGGTCATGCCGAGAACTAGAAAGTGAGTGGATGCAAAGCGTGCTCGTACTTTGTGACTGCACACACACTCAAAATCGTGCAAGTCAAAGTCTCACTTTCTCCCAGCTGTCTCTGTAGCATTTGCAGCTCCTGGTGCACCTCGGCCAAGGAGAATGGGGCACCGCCATGGTAACTAGGGCCAAGGATTAGAGGTTGGGGGTCAAAGGGCAAGGAGCCGGGTGGACCTGAGGGGTCAGGGCAGTAGTGAGGCTGAGGAAAGGGGGCAGCACTGGACAGGGGGCTAGAATAGAGGCCTAGAGACAAGGAGAAGAGAAAGATGGAATTCACTGAGCAACTCACTTTCATTCAATGCGTGTAGCTGAACCACAGCTTCACATGCCTTCATCTCACCTTCAGCTATAAACGTCACCCGCTGTGGACAGTTTAGTAACACTAAAAGATGAACATAAGGACAAAGACAAGCAAACTCAAGTGGGTGTGCACTCTCCCTCTCTACTCCAAAATGGCTTATTAATTCTCATCAATTCTATGGCATTCACAAGTCAAAGTACTGTAAATGTATCGAGAATATGGTCATTTTCTTGATGCTTTGTTGTGTAACCTGAAACGCCAACAAGTGTAAACCTTTTTATTATCTTGGAGTAGAGAGAAAGAGCATCTAGTTGAGTTTGCAGTTTTTACAGGTCTTTGGGGACAACACCTCCATAGCTTTTGGGTGTGCCTTCCTTTTCTCCGTTTTCCATAAAGACAAGAAACTAGTTCACAGCCCAACACCAGAACATTCTAGCAATGTTCCACACTATAAGGATTGTTATGTTCCAAAAACAATAAGCAGACTCATCTAAATCTTATTAGAAGGGAAAGAGTTGTGTTTTGGGGAGAGTCCCCACCGAGAAGCAGACATTGATTTTAGTGGGAAGAAAGCCCATTAAAGTCAATGTCTTAATTTATCCAAGAGAAACGCCTAAGGGATCATCAGTGGGTGCTCCTGAATTCTTTTAGCTCCACAATACCTGCCTTGACTGTGCACAGCTGGGAAGAAATCCCTTGATCTATCAAAAACACTCTGGGGTTTTCTGGAAGGAATGAAAGTATAAAGTATGGCTGCTACAGCTGTTATCCTACCTGTCTGTGCCTGGTTGAGATCCATGGGCTTATGCTGTGTGCATGGGATGATGGGATTGTTGTTTGATGACTGAGCCCCATGGGAGGCAGTGGTGGATGATTGGACAGATGGGTGTTGTGGTGGAGTGCCACTGTGACTGTGAGGATCTGAAAGAAAATGGTGCTCAATGAACAATCACACTGTGCTGCCATGATGGGCTCTGTCAGAGCCATTAAGCACAACACGACGAGCTTAGGTAAAGCAGGAGCTGTGCTCTGCTAAACAAATGCACAATTAACATTCTGGTCATTTGTCAGAGAGACTAAATACATTTAAACCAAGGCATATGAAACACAATTGCAATGCTTCTGTACTTCAGTTGAAATGGATAAATGGACACTGAAAATAAAAACATACAGAAGGGTCACTATTTTTTCTAATGCCAGTGATGATATTTTTATATGGATATATATGTATAAACAAATGTACACGTGCTGAGAAAAATGAAAAATGAGAAAATTTGAAAAATGTGATTTAATTTAGCCACTGCCTAATCTAATCTAATCATTCCTACAGAACAGTTTAAGTAGCACACATGTTCTATTGTGTTAGAATGCTGTGGAAAACGTTTTCCAGAATAATTTGGTTTTTAGGTTTAGGACACGCATTTTTTCACAATTTTGTACCTGTGATGGCCTGTCCAGGGCTCCCTCTGCCTGTGGCCTCCTCCTGTGTATACTCGCTGGCAGCGTCCATATCGGAGCACAGCTCAAGCTCCTCATTGGTAGAAGCATGGTCATCTGATACAAAGGAGGTCCTGTCTGATTGGTCGGTGGTCTCAGACAGGGCATGGCTACTGGAGGGTGTGTCAGAACGCTGCTGTAACTTGGAGCGGAGCGAGTCAATGATCTTATCCTTCTGCTGGAGCTCTTTACTAAGCCTGCAGAGACAAGGAAAAGTTTGTTGCAGATGCCGACACACAAATTATGAACCAGTTTAAGAGAGGCCTTCTCCTCCCCTGAACTCCTGCTGACAAAAATGCCTACCAGATTACATCAGTGCACTGGACCTTTGCTGTGCACATACATTGAATATCGACAAATTTCCAGTGGGCGACTGTATGTACACAAACATAAGAACCTTTTTTTAATATAACCCTAACTTCTTAAGTCTAAAGTGAAATGTCCTGGCCAAATTTTTCTCTGGCCTTTCCCAATCATGGCCTCCTAATAATCCTCATCTATGAACTGGTGGAATGAACCAGTGTCCAGAAATGCGCTATATAAGTGTTAGGATATTATTATTATATAATGCTACACTATGGAGTTTTATTCCTCTCCTTCCACACACTGTAAATCATCTGGTCCTTGAAAAAAGTGAAAGAAAAATTCTTTCTTCACCCACCACCTCTAAACCCCTATGCTTGCCGCAGATGGCAGTGGGCAGCAGTGGGAAAAACAGTGTTAGCTGCAGCAGGGCTCGCTGGGCTCTTACTTGTCGAGCTCCCTGTGCAGGGCCCTCCTCTCGCGCTCCGCCTGCTTCCTCAGAAAGAGCAGCTCCCGCTCCTGAGCCCGGCATTCCCATAGCGAGAACGAAAACAGCGACTCGCGGTACAGAGGGTTGCTTTTCGACAGCATCAGCTTCCAGAGTGGGGCCATGAGCTCCTTTCGTTCCTCGCACGGATAATGTCCCCTGCCTAACTGGGCTTTCGTGCCATTGATGTCCCACAGCCTTTCCTGTGCGTTGGGGTAAGGGCCTGGAGGTCTTTTCAATAGAGAAAAGCACAGCGCGCGAATATCCCACTCAGCTGTTCTTGAACAACAGTCTGCAATTATTCGTTGTTTCTAAAAAGACACAGCTCAGGACTCGGTTCTTCAATGGCCAGGAGTTGCGATGTGTTCTCAGTGAAATGCAGTCCTAAAGGGTGGACCGTCGACGAGAAGTACACATCTCTCCAATGTCCGCACCTTCGCTTGGCTTGTCCACAGCAGTACTCATCCAAACCACAGATTCCTTATCTATTTACAGACCAAGCTCTACAAAGCAGGACACTTAGCGTGACTCAGCCCTGCTGAGCCTCTTACTGCCTTAAGAAAAGTGCTGAATTACGTACAGAATAAGGTATAAGAAAAAGACGGGTTTTTCTTCCTATTCAAACAGCTCAAAGACTCAGGTTTCACCACTGGGGAATCAAGGCCTAATGTAACCAAACCCTGAAGGCAATTCCTTTCAACGAATACCCAAACATAACAGCACGATCACGGATTTGTCTTCTGCGTAATGTGCAGCAAAGCGAATGATAAAAGTGTCCCGGGCCTCAGGTTCCTAAGCCTTCAGTGCATTTTAGAAAGAGGTAGATCGTGTAAAACCAACCCATAATGCATATTATTGTGTACGATCATTTTTATTAGCCAGCTAGGCAAATATAATGGTATTCAGAATCTGAAAAAATAGTATTCAGAAATGATCTAACCTTCCTATCCTCCCATCCTTTTGAAAATCTTTGGTCCCTTGAAAACAGGTCTACAAAATCTTCTCTGATGTAAAAACACAGAAGTGATCTTTTCGCCATACATAAACAATAAAACCCAACTTTACAGACTGGTGCTCATTCGAAAACAACACCCTAATTTTCTAATATGCTTTGTCAGAAAAACAACTCATCAAATTAATTTTAAGGGGAGAGAAAGAGGTTACTTTCTCTCAGTACTCTGAGACAAAGGATTTACCTTGGTTGAGCTGGTCCTGACCTATTTAATTCTCCCAGGAGTACCTAATAACATAAACTGATTAATACTAAAGTTGAAGTCACTCTTTAGGTTAAACAATGTTGTTACAAAATAAAAGTTGTTTTGCCCAACTCCGGACTTCAACTTAACACTTACCCAGAGATTGAAAACCTCTCTCCTATTTCACAATGACTAACAAGACTGATAAACTAATTGTCATCATACGTTATACAAAAAATTCAAAGTGCCCATAATAGCTATAAACAATTCTCCTTCTCCTTTCCACTATTAAAATATACAAATGTGCTGGAAGGAAAACAGTGACTTTTTTTCCAGGTGGCCAGACGATTGAGCTCAGTCTTCCATCATTAAAATGCCACCAGCCAGTTCTGAATCAGCTGCCGTTCAGTCTCCTTTCACTGAAAGGTAAAGCACTTCAAACACAAGGTTGAATCCCTCCAAATTTCAAATGTTGCTCCCAGCGATGTGGTGTACCTCCGTGAAGTGCGCTTCTCCAGGGGAATCACCGAGACCTCTTGCTGTAAAATTGCCCTACCTGCCTCTCTAGTTCCCTTGTTGCCGATCTGAATTTACGCACACAATGCCACACAGCCAAAGATCAAGAGCTGCAGCAGTTTGGATGCGTAACACTTACAATGAACACGGTGATGGCTCAGAAGCGATAAGCTCTCAGAATTACCAATACAAACTCAAACTCTATCAAAGCACTTCTGTGCCACATAATGGGCAGCCAATGAAGACTTCTGTGAGTCAACACACAATGAATCCACCCGCTTCAGGAATCCAACACAAAGTCCATCGAACTGGTCCCGCACAGCCTGTTTCGTCCTTAGAGGAGGAATGAGTATGAGCAGCTCTGACCTTAACCTCTGCGCAGACGTAAATCCTATCCAGCCTTATGTAATAAACTTCTACAGGACACTCGGACAAAGGGAAATCTGTCTTCTTCCCTTGAAAGGAAAGGCTCTTTCTGGTACATGCAGTGCAGCTAAGAAGTCAGAAGCCCAGTGCAAAATAGAGTTCAATTTAGGAAATAAAAACAGAGCAGGGATATTCACAGCCCACTGCACTGCTGCTTACGCTCCAAATGCAGCTTGGTCAACTGGCTAATGCTCAGAACAGATGCATGACGGTGGAAAAAAAGGTCTTATCAGCTACTAAATCCCTCTGGGAATCTGCTGAGGCCCTATTAGAGAAGTAAATTATCCAATCAAAATGCTGGTCATTATCGACTCCCCAAGGGAGCCCTGAAACCAGTAATGACATTACACAGCACAGCGCAGACTCCTTGATTAAACAGCCTTCTTCACCAAGCACTGCAACAGAGCTAGAAAAGCCAAACGGATCTGACAAATTGAATACTGAACTGAGACCGACACTAGACGTACGGGGGTGCTCAATAAAGGAGTAAGCTGAAAATAAAAAGCCAGATTTCAGCCAGCTACTTGTGAAAAACAGTAAAAAAAAACATTTAGGGGATTGCAATTATACAGAGAAGGGAACTTACAGTTTGTTAAAACATCAAGGAAAACAGACTTTGGCAATACTTATTTTAACTCCCTATTCTCTATTGCCAAAATAAGAAAGGATTTATACAATTTCTAGTCATGTACTGTAAAGATATTAAGGGAAAAACAACATTGGGAAGATCTACATGGGTAAAGTAAGCAGAAATGTTAAAAAGGGCTATGCAGGAAGTACAAAGATGTCTTTTTCTGTATTCATTTCTAATTGCCCAAAGTGAAACTGTAAATGGACAAATATTCAGGAACATCTCCAAATGTATCTCTATGCTCTTTACACTTCCCAATTCTCTCCACACACAAGAGGTTTATACAGTAACGGACTGCACAATACACAGTGAAATCACTAATGGCTGTTGCGATTCCAGATTGCTGCCACCAAACCTTTATGACTTCCCTGTCAGTCACAACACATATCACCATTGTTGTGGAGTCTATATGTGCCTCAGACCAGCCAGAGGAATGCTGAGGAGAAAATGTGAGGAATAACGAATCCTGGAGGCTAATACTACAAGTTGCATGCTCCACTGCCTCATTACTCCAGTTTAATTTAAAGGCCTTCGGGGCTATCATACAGTACTCATGTTCTGCCAGCCCTGAACTTTAAATAACTGATTATAAACAACCACAGTTGTTCACATCAATTCAAGTTGACAATTGAGGAACAGGTATGGAAAAGGCAGAAACACTTCTGATACTATGAACTCTGTGAATATAGTAAACTCTGTGAATAATAGCAGCTAATAAAAAAAAGCCATTTCCTTGTTTTCATACAACCAGTTTAGCAGTGACAGAAGTTATTTCTCAGCAGTATCACATTTGTCCACCAGATGGAAAGTCTTCACTAGATTCCAGTCAACTTTTGATACCTCAGTGTAACAGTTCTTTGGTATTTCAGTCAGCCAGTTCCTCACTGTTACGATTAAATCATATCCAAGCATTCATAAGCTATTGAGATATATTGCTCTGAAATACCAAACTCACTTCTAAATGAAGTTGAACTATTGATCTCTGGATGTGTCGTTCTGTGCTCCTACTAGCAATGAACTGGAAAGCAATGTAACTGAGCTGTCCATAAATCAATGCTTTCCATTCCTTTTTTCCGGCACAGTGGAACTATGGAATCACACAGCTGGAGGTCAAATGAGCAAACATGAAATTGCTTGGTGACAATCCCTAATTGAAAAGAGAACCTTGCATGAGATTTGAATTGCAAGGTTTGACTTTATTTATAAAGAAAGCAGTGAGATTTTACTATACTGCCCTTGAATGCTTTTGCCCTCTGTTCTGCTGAGTCAACTACAGTTTTATAAGGAGTCTGTAAGGAGACCTTTTGTGAAGCATAATATTCATCCACTTTCTCTTTAGAAATAAAGAACAATAGAAAGAAGAAATAATACTGTTGATACAACCAATATTATTTTAGATTTTATATTTTGGTTTGGACACTGTAAGGATTTATTGATTTATTTTTTTAAATGAGAGTCTTTAAATATGTCAGTATAACAACAGAATGTTATTAAGAAATGGTGGATAGAAGGGTAATGTAGTTCTTTGACACATAGGCCATCAATAATAATAATAATAATAATAATAATAATAATAATAATAATAATAATAATAATAATAATAATAATA